CCAAAATCCTACCTCCCAGATAGTCCCACTCCTAGCATTTTGGTGAACAGCCTTCCAGACATATCTCCATGCATATATACACACAGGAATCTATGTATATAATTTTATAGGCGAGGGGTTGTATTATACATACTGTTCTCACTTGACACCTACTTTTCTCTCTCAACAATATGTCATAGACATTTTTCCGTGTCAATAAATAGAGCTCTACAAAATTATTTTAATCCCTTCATAGTATTTCATTGGATGCATGTATCATACTTTGTGTCTCTATTGATCGTTTAGAATGTTGTCAAGATTTTACTCTCCTAAACAATGTTGTGATAAATAGCCATGTGCATCTCTCCTTGCTCATTTTTGCAATTATCTCCTTAGAATAAAATCCTGCAAATAGATTGCTGCAATAAGGGTGCGCTGTTCCTAATCTTGTCAGCCTGCCCTTCAGAAAACTTACAATGGGCTTCCCATCAACAGTGCTCTAGCCCCTGCCTGCCCGCACCCTCGCCAACCCGGGGTTCTAACATTTGGCCAAATCGACAGAAGGCAATTGACACTCATTTTTATTGGCATTGCTTAGATTAGTGAGAGGAAATGAATATCTTTGCATGTGTTTTGGGCATTTATAATGATTTTCTTGGTGAATAGCCTCTGTTCATGTCCTTTACCCATTTTTAATGAGATAATTATCTTTTTCTGAATGAGTTATAAGAGGTCTTTGTACATTTGAGATCAGATTAAACATTTGTCTATCATATATGCTTTCTCTCTTTTTTTTTTTACTTTTGTTTTCATGGTCTTTCAGGTATTAAATTTTTAATTTTTATATATCCAAATTTAATATTCTTTTATGGTTTCTAGATATCATATTATGATTAAAAGGATCTTCCCCACCTTAAAAATGACCAAAAAACTCATTCCTGTTTATATCTCTGGGGTCTTCCTGGTTTGAAAAACCAGCTTGTGTTGTAATGGCTGGCCCATTATCCCAACATCACTTATAAAACACCTCATATATTCCCAACTCAAAAGAAACACCATTTTATCATATATAAAATCCCCTTAAATGTTTGGATCCATTTCTGGGACTCCTTTTTGTCCCAATGATCTCACATTCTTACACAGACTTTTAATGATTGTCCCTTTGTAAACATTTTAATATCTGATAGAGTAAATATTCTTTCTTTTTTTTTTTTTCCAGAACTTTCCTGGTTGCTCTCATTTTTTATTCTTCAGATTAGTTTTATAGTAATTTTGTCAAATTCAAAAAAAAAGGATCCTGTTGGTGTTTTGATTGCATTGCCTTCATTTTGTACATCCATTTAAGGAGAATTGACATCCTGATAGTATTACATCTTTCCACCCAGGAACGAGGTATGTGTCAGATTTATTCAAGTCTCTCATATCCCTCAGGAAAACTTTCTGTTTTTCTTCATGTAAACTCTAAATGTTTCTTATAAAGTTTATTTCCAGGTATTTTGTATTATTGTTCTATTCTTGCCACTGTGGATGGGGTCTTCTATTTTACCTTCTAGATAGTCATTTTATAAATTTAAAAAAGCTATTTGTTTTTGTTTATTGTTTTGTTACTAGTCATTTTACAAAACTTTTATTTTTTTAATTATTTGGGGGGGGGGGGAAACCAGCTTTTTCAGATGAATAATCATCTTATCTGAAAACTATGATTATTTGCTCTCCTCCCCCAGTATTTACACTTTTCATTTCATCTTCTTGTCTAACTGCAACATCTATCATTTTAGGGAAAGTTCTTTGAAATATTGATAACAACAGCTACTCCGGTCTAGTTTCTGACTCTAGTCTAATAAGAATACATCTAGGGTTTCACCAGCCTAATGCCTGTTGTCCATCCTTCCTACTCCTGTGACCACTATTCTAGTCTGGCCCATATTAATTTGTCATCTGTTTTATCACAAACATGAGAAATTAGAGTGCAGAGCCTCAAGTCAGATGATCTGTGTTCAAGTCCTGACTTCCATTTACTAACTACATAATCTAGTCAAGTTACTCAAGATCTTTGAAACACAGTTTTAAAAAATAAAAAGAGAGGTTGTTGTAAGAATTAAGTGAAAAAAATGCGAACATTATGTATGGTATCAGGAAATAATATTTTTTTAATTTCTGCCCCCAAATTCTCCTTCCAACCCAACCTATATCCCACTCATAGGTTGATCTTCCCAAAATACCACTGTTCACATGGCTCTATCACTCCCCCTGCTCACAATCTTTCATTATTCCCCATTACCAACAGAATCAAGTGCAAACTCTTAAACTTGTGTCATAGCCCTTTCGTCATTCAACTCCAAGCTTCCCTTTAGCCTTATTTCCCGTAGCCACCTGCTGCCCCGCCCATCACACCCCTCCCTGCCCTTCACTCCAGCCAAGACATTCTCCTCACTAGCGGCCTGCCTACGGCTCAGTAGGTCCCACTCCCAGGTTACTGTCACAGCGCCCTTCAGCGGCTCCTTTACCAGCTTTCAGTTGCAAGGAATACAAACATGAAATCCTAACTGGTTTAAAAAGTGGATACTAGTATATTAGCTCACTCGACTAAGTAGTCCAGATGCAATGGCTTCAGGCACAGTTTGAGCAGGACTGGGATGCCATTTTTTGTGATTTTCTAGCCTCTTCCCACCTCCCATGTTGACAGTAGTCTCACATGGTGTTCCTAGTCACAAAATGACTGCCAGGATTTAGGGCCTTGTGCTTCCTCATCTGAATACAGACAGAGAGATTGGATGTCTTTCCTCGGCCTCTAACAAAAGTTCTAGGCCTCTTGTCTGATCAGGCCAACTTAAACCAATCCCTATGACCAGGGGAATATGTCTACGGATTGGTTTACAACCAACCAACCAACATGCCAAGGTAGCAGCGGGTGGATTATTTTGACTGGCTCAGCCAATCAGGATTCATCTCCAGAGCCACACACACTCGCTGTTGGAGATGGATGGGGCACTGACAACAACCAATTGCACTACAATCTCTTCCGCTTCACTTTCCTGGGTGTTGGGCTTCCTTTAAGGCCCAAGTCAAACCCCAGACCTCTGATACGAGCCCCCTCTCGTTGAGCTCCAGAGGCCATACTCCCTGCTCAACACATGGCAACCACGGCCATATATAACTTACTCATATAAGAGTGTGTCTGTTCTGCCCATGAATAATCACAGAACTGATGAAAGTCTGCAAAAACCCTTTACACAAGCTGGCCCTTTTGACCTTCACAATAATCGTCTGACACTCAGAGAGGTTACGTGACTTGCCCTATGTCACACAGCCAGAGACAACATGATGACATTGCCCCAGAGGCCTCTTCAATATGTCCCCCCCCTCCACACACACACACACACACACGCACGCACGTGCGCGCCTTCCTCCTCCTCCACTCCCCAGCTCAGGCCTGACCTGAAGATACAGAAGCCCCTGGCACCACCTCCTTTTCCCGACTTCACCTCAATTTCTAGAGCTCTGAAACTTCCTCCAAAAAGTACAAAGTTTTCTTGCCAGACAGCAGTTTCTAAGATTTGTGTGACAAGGCCGGGTAAAATTCAAATGACTCTGGGTGATTTAATCTGCTTGGGGCTGGGGTGGTAAATCAGCTCAGCCCAGGCTGCCGCAGCCGCCCCAGAAAGCCACAAGCCGAGCGGGTGATAGGAGTCTATCTGCTGATCTGCAGGTGAGGGCCCTGCAAGCGTGAACTGCGGCCTGGGAGTTCCCCTCCACTGCTCTCGGAATACATTTGGAGGGTCCTATAGCCCACAGCCTCTCCCGGCCTACATGTTCCACCAGCCAGCATCTCTCCCAAGGATGCAGCCCTAATTCCTCCCTCCCCCAGCCCCCGTCGTCAGAGCTGTCTCCCCGGTCCACACAGGAGGTTGTAGGGGAGGAGGCCAGCATTGGTCAAGCTTTCACTGAAACTGAGGCCTTGGTGCCAGGTCCTTGTGCACCCACACACCCATTACCTCATTTCATCTTCACAACAACTTAATGAGGGAGGCTTGTCCATCCTCGGCTTACAGGTGACTTAATTGAGGCTCTGGGTGATTAAAAAACTTGCCCAGGGTTATTACATAGCTAGCAGGCGGCAGAGCCAAGATTCAAACCTAGATTCATGAGACTCCGAAATCCTCGTGCCTTTCCCTCCACCCCTCTGTGATGGCCGAGGGGAGACGGCAGCTTTCTCTGGAACCCCGTGGTCTGAGATAAGAGAGGGGACAGCCCCTGGTTAAAGGGGAGTTGTTATTCTGAACAAATGAAACAGTAGTTTTTCCCGCACAAGGGAAATGTCAAAGCAGAAGGTAGTCACGCTATGACGTACCCCCTGTGTGTGTGCCTACGTAGGACCAGGTGCTCAACACCCATCCACCTAACCATCACTGTGTAAGCAGTGGGATGCTGGTAAATATGTGCCAGCCAGGGATCTGGAAGAAAAGGCAAGCCCGGGTTTATAGCGTTTGCCAATTCCTGTGGTGTCAATGTTCCCACCAGGGTCCACTGCAGGCTACCAGTGCGATGTCACTGAACACAGAGTTGGGAAGGGACGCCCTCCATGAGCTCTCTAAGCCAATGGGAGAACAGCATAGGGAATAAGCCAATGATGCTGTGATAACTGTGTGTGGTGGGTACGAGGCTTACTAGTAACGGTGGAATCGCTTCATGAGTTATATAAATGTCTAGCCCCAGACCAGCGGTTCTCAACCTTCCTAATGCCGCGACCCTTTAATATAGTTCCTCAGGTTGTGGTGACCCCCAACCATAAAATTATTTTCGTTGCTACTTCATAACTGTAATTTTGCTACTGTAAAAATATGTAATTATATATGTGTTTTCCGATGGTCTTAGGCGACCCCTGTGAAAGGGTCGTTCGACCCCCAAAGGGGTCGCGACCCACAGGTTGAGAACCGCTGCCCTAGACTGTATACCTGAAATTAACATAATATTGAATATGAAAACAAAAAAGCTAGTAGGAACCAACTCTAGCACACCACTGCCTGTCAGAGAGGTTTTATTAAACCCACTTAACAAATGAGGCCGCACAGAGAGGCACTCCGGCTGAAATCCATCTCTTTACAACTGTCTGAAGTCCGCCTTCTCTCCACAGCTCCATGTTCCCTGAGCCAGAGGTGATGTGGGGAGCCACGCTCACCGGTTTCTGAAGGACGGTACCCTCCTGAGAGGTCCTGAGGGCAGAAGAAAGCCAGTGGGTAGAAATCCAGCAGACCCAGGTTCAGCTTAGGAAAACTGCCTAGATGGACAGCTCCAGGAAGGTGGTACCCAGCTATGCTTGGCACATAGTAAGTGCTCAATAAATGGCTCAATGAATGAATGAAAACAAGAAAGAAAAAGCCATTACATGCATATTCTATTGATACCTCAAACTCACCTAATCCATTACTGAGCTCATCATCTTTCCCCCAGAAAAGCCTATCCCTCCTCCTGTGTTTCCTGTCTCAGTGAATATTGCCAAGCGAGGAACTTGGGAGTCCTGACTCTCCCTCCCCCTGACCATCCCCACATCCAATCAATCGCCAAGCCCTATCTGTTCCTCTGGAGCAGAGGCTGTCCTCAACCTACCCACTCTGCTCCCTGCTCAGACGGTCACCCTCTCTCCAGAGCTTCCTCACCGGTCTTTCTGCTCTCGTCCTTGCCTGGACCCACCGCCAGCCCCTGTCTAATCCATCATCAAGGAAACTGCCAAAGCGATCTTTCAAAACTGCCCCTCGGAGTGTGTCCCACCCCTTCAATGGCCTCCCATGGCCCAGAGGACGGAACCGAAGCCTCTTGGTCCTCCAAGGTCTGGCCCCACCTCCCTCACCTGTCTGAGCGCTTGGCTCTTCCTCCACCCACGGAGTTATTTATTCAACATCATTCGTGCCTTTGCTCACACTATACCCTCCGCCGGAAATGCCCTTTCTTCTCTCTCCCACCTCCCTTCCCTCACCTGGAAAACAAATACTCACCCTTTAAGACATAAAGGAAGGTGGTTCAGACGATGATTCCTTTTCGCACTAACATTTCATGATTCTGACGCTAAGAAGGCTTTTTAGATCCTGCTGTCACCTTCTCTCTTCCTGGGACCCTACGTTGGGGATCCTTGGGTTCAACTCCATCATTTTATGGGCAGACAATCCAAGGCCCTGAGAGGAAAGGGGCTTGCCCACGATCTCACAGCAAGCCAGTGGCAGAGCCAGGGCAAGACCCAGACCCCTGCCTCCCAGCTCAGGGCTCTGCCTTTGCAACAGACTCCCCAACTGGATCCCCTCCTTGCACTTCAATACTTATATTCTCATTACAACCATCACTATCCCACCCTGACTTACCTCCTCACACCCAAGGCGGCTCTCACCTTTCCTGCCTGTGCTCACACTGCTGCAAGGCCAGGACCTGCCCCCTCCAGGAAGCCCATCCTGGTTATCCAACCAAACCCATCCACACCCCATACCCTCCCCCAGATCACCCACCCGTATTTGTCAGGACCCAGCGCCTGGGGCCTAGTTCACTCACAGTGGTCAGCATCTTGTGTTATCTCGCCAGGCAGGATGTCCGCTCCTCCATCTTCTTTCTTCTCATCCTCCTCCTCCTTGTACAGCCCCAGCTCCAAACACAACTGCTTAGGGTAACAAAGTATGGCGAAAAGAGGGTGACATCTGAGGTCAGATAGATGGAGGTTCAAATCCCAGCTCTGTAGTATCCCTGACTGGTTGCCCAAATCCATTTGAGCCTCAACTTCCTTTATCTAAAAGAATGAGCTCACCCCTACTCCACGCCCAGCACTTAGTAGGCTCTTGATAAGTGAGAGTTCCCTTCCCAGGTGAAACCCCAAGACACTTGGAGAAGACAGCTCCGAGGGCTGGGAGGTGAGCAGAGTCCTGAAATCTCACTCCCACCCTCACCGGGCTGGGAGCAGCCTGTGTGCAGAAACGTGGGGCGTAGCCAACCCCCCGTCCCCACCCCCAACAATCTGCTTTAACCTTCCTATCACAAATGCCTTGTTTATTTCAATATCATCCGTTTTACTTTTCCGTTCATGCAAAAAAAAAAAAATTTTTTTTTTTTTGTACAAAAACAGATTTAAGAGGAAAAGAAGTCTTTAATGAGTAAAACTGTCTGCAGCCCTGTTTCTTTCTCAGGAAAAAGTGGCTGTGATTCTGGCATGAGAGGGAAGCTCAACAGCTTCCCTTCGCTGCAGCTGCCAGGAGAAGTGCATTTCGGAGGAACAGAACCTCCACATTAAACAGTGCGCCTTGGAGCCAGGCGCTTCCTGTGCCGAATTCCGCTTGGCAGGTGACACCCCAGCTCAAGCGGGGATCCAGCCCCGCTGCGAGCAGAGCAGCCGCAAGGCTCTCTGTTCCTGCCCGCCTCCAGCCTGGGAGAGGCCGCCCTGCCAGGCCCTGGCCAACCACTGACCACCGTGATAAAGCCTCTGAGACAGGGAGGAGACAGCTGGGAAGGGGGTGGCTGCGCCTGGCCAGTGGCCAAGAGGACGAGGACCTCTCCCGGTGTCAGAGCATCAGGGACCAGCACTTTCTCTCCCCCAAATGAGGGCAGCGTGACATAAAGATCAGGCCCAGGACTCGCTGCTCAAATACAAGTTCAGAAAATCTGCAACTTCATTCTCTGCTTCAAAGGTGTCATTTCAGAGGGCCGCTCTGGATGGGACCTAAGGGTCAAACTCTAGAAGGGATCTGTTCCTCTAAGAACCCCCCGCCCACCTCCACCCCCCAAAAAAAGAGGAAGAACTGAAGAAAAAACAGAAAAGCACACCTGACCTTCAAATATGAACAATAGTGACTGCCCCAAGTCAGGATGGTGGTCCCCTCCCTTATCCCAAACCTCATACCTCTATTAATGTAGCTTGCTGACTCATCATGAGCCTAATGGCCCATGACTTCTAAATCTCTTTCTTATGAGCAGCTGCTCCTCTCTACAATCTTCCCTGTAGTTGAGATGGGCCCCAGCATTTATCCCTGTGACATATCCTTGTCACGAGAGCCCATTGAGATCCTTCGGGGTCCTGATTCTGCTATCTGACCTTTTCTCTGTTCTGCCACCTCCTCCTGTTAGAGGCCTGCACCCCTTATGTCTTCTTCTGGATCCTTGGCATACATTGGTCAGAACAGGGTAGAAAGCAGAGCCCCATAGACCTTTACAGACTGACCTGGTTCCACTCATATGCACATTTCGTGGCTGTTGTTCGGCCAGATGGGAAGTCCCTCTGTGCCCTCACAGCTACTATCGTGTCCTCAAAAGCCATGAGAGGCCCTGTCCTGTGTCTTAGGAGGCAGCGTGACCTGACAGAAAGGATTGAATAGATCCAGGCCTGAATCCCAGCTCCACTGGTCTTGGCCAAGTCACTTAACTTCCCGGAGAGTCCGTGGCTCACCTGCAAAACGGAGACTGTCATAGCTCGTGCACAAGGGTGTGACGATTAAGGCAATGTATTGAAGCATCTGGCACACAGTAGGTGCTCGACATATAGACTCTGCTCCATCCACTCAAGCTCATACTCTTCACCCACCAGTCACTGAGCTGTTGAGATGGAACTGAGCTGTTTTGGGTGAACCGATGAGGGCTCCAGGGGTCCCTGCCTTCGTCTCTGAGTGTCACCGATTTCACCTCCATACCAGGCCCTCACACTAATTTGGGGCCTTTATGATGTGAATTCCTGTCAAGGCAATCTTCCCTTCCTGGATCCGTTCAGTCTTTTAAATAAAATAATAACAAGAATGATAACAGCTCGATCCTTTCAATCCCACCATGAAATAAAAACTACCTCCATTTTGCCTATGAGGAAACTGGGGTTCCGAAAAGTTAAATAACCTTTCCAAGGTCACACAGCCGGCAGATGTGAAAGCTAAGCAGAGCTCTGTCTGACCCTGAACAGCAGACGCTCAACATTAGGCAATATTTCCTAAATGTTGGCCTAACGGGGGGACTTAGTCTCTGGCCCTGCTGCACTTGTCTTTTGGACCTCAGTCCGAGTTCACTTGGTTGAGTGCCTTTTGGGTCCTGATACTGTCATCATGGGGTGGCCGCCCCTCACCCCCATCTCCCGGCGGCTCTGTGCCCACCACCTCCACATAAAGCGGGCTGAGGCGCAGGCCCATTGCTCCAGGCCAGGATCAGTGGGTTGATCTCCGCATGCGCATCAACCTAAGCTCTTGACACCTGGGGCCTTGCCTCCCCCGCAGCCCAAGCACAAGGCAGCCTGGACCCTCTTCCCCTGCCCTTCATCAGGACCCAGTCACCTGCTGCAGAACCCTGAGGCCTCTGGACTGCCCGCTGCCTCCTAGACCCCGAATGGCCAGGATCCCCACCTGTCGAGGGGCACCCCAAGGCCCCTTCTCCCAATCATGTGTCCAGACTATCTAGAATCTAGATTCTAGATGCTGAGTCCAGCCACCAGCACGGCTGTCCTCCATCACTGAGCACCAGTCCTCACCCTCCCCTCAAGCCTGGGGTCCAGGTCTGCCCCTGGGGAAAGGAGGGAGTGGTCCCAGGAAGCTGCCAGGGCCGGGGCTCAGGCCCGTGGCCACCACGGAGGCAGCCAGTCAAGGAGAGGACCCTGAGGGATTCCAACGGAAGCCATCCATGGATCAGTTTGCAAACCTTAACAACATCCAGGCAGGGTGCCCAGCGCCTGAGGCCCATCAGAAAACTGCCCCTGGGGCCTCAGAGGACAGAGCTTGGGAGCAGCTCACTCTCCTCCCAAACACAGTCACCCCCACAGCTGAAACACAGCCTGGACGGTCACACCACCAGGAGCACTCGCTCCACAAGCCCATTCATAAAAAGGACACTCACAAGTCCACTCCTGCCCTCGCCCCAGAGACAGAAAGCCTCCCCCCATTCAGTCACTATGGATCAGCCCCTGCTCCGTGCCAGGCATGCTTCGAGGCACGTGGGGTACATCCGTGGCCAAAACAGACAAAGGTCCGATCCCTAGGGAGGTCTTTCACTCCAACTGGAAGGCCAACAGCACAAAGCAAACTTAAAGGACTAAGTCATTTAGTGCGCAGGCGGGTGGTGAGGACAAACGGAAAAGGAGAACTAGGAATGGGGTGCTGGGAGGGGGCGGTAGCAGCTTTAAGTAGGGTGGCTGGGGCTTCATCAGGAAAGTGACGCTCAGAGTGCTCAGCAGCCACCTGGGCATGGCCAGCGGCTCTGGGACGGGGCAGCCCGTTTTCCCATCAATGTTCATTCCCCCGTTACGTTAGATCCGCCCTGTCACAAACCCTGCTGAGGCTTAACAACAGAAGACCTGCTGAGGCTACCAAATACCGCGCGCCTGGGACCCCCCTGGCAGGAAGGCTGATCAATGTCACCACATCAGGGGAGTGATCATGGGATCCCAGCGCCTCTCCCAGCAATTACGATTTTTCCTTCTTCCTCCAAGTGCTGTCTAAACCAGTGATGGCGAGCCTTTTGAGCTCGGCGTGTCAGCATTTTGAAAAACCCTAACTTAACTCTGGTGCCGTGTCACATATAGAAATGTTTTGATATTTGCAACCATAGTCAAACAAAGATTTATATTTTTGATATTTATTTTATATATTTAAATGCCATTTAACAAAGAAAAATCCACCAAAAAAAATGAGTTCGCGTGTCACCTCTGACATGCTTGTCATAGGCTCGCCATCACTGGTAAACCTTCTGTCTTCTCTGCCTCCCTTCCTGACACCCTAAAATCTGTGCTCCCACCCTCAGGGCTCCATCAAGACGGTGCCAGGAAAGATAAGCAACACTCTGTAAAGGTACCTCTCCTCTCACCTGGCTTTTCCTGCACTTTGGTGATACCAGCTCCTCCGGGTCCACATACGGTAATTGTATGATTAACCGCATTTCCAGGGAAAAAGGAAGTGACGCTGAAGGGAACTCTTGAAGAAGGTGATTAAGTTATTTGCTCCTTCATTCAATAAATATTTATTGAACATCCCCAGTGCCACTGTGTGCCAGAGATTGTCCTTACAGTGGTGGTACAGACATGAGCAACACAGCTGAAATTCCTGCCCTCCTAGCGTTCACATTCTGGCAAGGGAAAGAGAAACCATAAACAAAATAGATACAGCAGTCCCCCCTTACCTGAGGTTTCGTTTTCCACGGTTTCAGCTATCCGTGGTCAACCATGGTCTGAAAATATTAAATGGAAAATTCCAGAAACAAGCAACTAATGGGTTTTAAATGCATGTCTCTTTGAGGCCCCCGCTCCCCTTTGTCCAGCAGAGTCACACTGTATATACTCGCTGCCGGTAGCCACAGTTATCAGACGGCTGTCCTGTCGTTGTATCACAGTGCTTGTGTGCAAGTAACCCTTATTTTACTTACTAGTGGCCCCACAGCGAGGAGTAGTGATGCTGGCAGTTCAGATGGGCCAAAGAGAAGCCATAATGTGAATGTGCACACAGGGAGACGCATAGTATATGTAGGCTGCAGTATGATCTGCAGTTTCAGGCACCCACTGGGGGCCTTGGAATGCATGCCCCCGGGTCAGGGGGTCCACTCTAAGTAAATACATGGTGTGTTCAATGGTGATCAATGTTAATGGAGATTAAAGCAGAGAAGGAGTAAGAAGGGAGGAGGGTTTTAAGCAAGGATGGCCTCCTGTCCTCGCCCCAAATTTTTCCACTGCACAAAACACACCCCAGAATATTTCCAAGACACCGTCACACACTCACACTAGACTCCACACAGACATAGGCACGTAGACCTCCTCTCTGCTATGAAAAGGGCACTCACACAAACACACACGTACACAGACACACACAACACGCCTAGGCATGCACATGCTCACGAGCATACTCCACGCACACACACACACACACACACACACACACACACACACACACACCAGCCCTCTCACTCAAACCTAACAGAAACACACCCTCCAGATCACACAAAGAGGCTAGGGCATCGGAACCAGCAGGACCCTCGCAGCCAGAAGGCACCATACACCCTCTCCCCTGTCCACAGGCCATCAACCTCAGCACCCAACAAAGGCACCCCCACTTGTGAACACCTACCGCTAAGCACACAGTCTTATGCACAGGGACTCACACGCAGACACACACATGCACACATTCCCTCATTCCCCTCTTCCAGACAACAAGGTGGGGTGAGACTTGAAGGGCCTCTTGCAATTTCGGCACCGCTTGTCCCCGTCACCCTCTTGCACCCACCCCGCAGGTTCCAGCTGTTCCAGCCACCACCACGCGCTCCCCCTGCCCCAGCCACCACCACACACTCCCCCTGCCCCAGCCTGTGGTCCGGAGCTCTCTGGATGGCATGTGTGTGCACACAAAAGGACCCTACGTGAATGGATACACATGTGATTTGCAAATGGGGTGGACACGTTTGTGTGCAAGTATTCACGCATGGGGACTTCACAATGTGTGAGCGCCTTTATGTGTGTGTGCAGGTGTGCGTCTGTGCACACGTGTGTGCATGTTCCCAGGGAGACAGAGAAATTTATCATCTAAATCTGGCTTCTCCGGGGGATGAAAGCAAAGCAAAGTTCAGGTTTAAATCACACCGGCACGGGCAGGAGGGCTCCCTGGCTTTACATGATTATCTGCGGTGTGCAGCGGAACGGGCTGGCAGGCAGGAGGCAGCCAGCAACCCGTCAGCGGGGAGTCATTTGTTGTCTCCAGGCCCCTGGGACCTGCTATGACTGCTCCAGGAGCGGGAGACCTGGGAGTGCAGCAGCGACAATCACATACCCGTCCCAGGTGCTGGGGGAGGGGCGGGCGCAGGCTGGCACCGGCTCGGGCTTCCTTGTGCTGTAGAAAAGCAGAGGGAGCAAAGGCAGGAACCCACAGGCCAGAAGGAAGCCCAGGCCTTTCTTGGCCTGGATGGAGAGAGAGGGTCCAGCCAAGAGGCAGCCCTGGCCCCAGGGCAGACGCCATCCTGCCACCCTCATCGCTGGCCAGGAAAACATCCTCTGGGCTCCAGGAGGTCAGAGCCGCGGGCACCCTGAGTTCTCCTGGCTCTTGTCTCTCCGTGACAGTCACCTCTGCCCTCCTCTCCATCTCACCCCCTTTCTTTTGTTTCTGTGTGTTTGCTCTTTGTCTCTCCCTCTCTCTCTGTCTGGGATTCTATTATGTGTATGTCGGACTGTCTGGCCTTCTCTTTCCATCTGTCCCTCTATCAACCCAAATCTCAAGACTCCCTTTGCTGACCGCTGTCACCTGTAACCTTGCTCGTAACACATCACACACCGCCCAGACATGTGATCACCTTTGAGCTTCTCGTCATTTGGGGGAGGCTAGAGAACTAGGGAGTAGAAATCCCATTTTACAGATGCGGAAATTGAGCCCCCAGAAGGCTTGCCCAAGTCCACATAGCTGGCGTGGAATTAAAAATCCAGGCATGTTTCCACTGCATGACCAGCCTCCCATAGCTCCACATCACCAGGAAGCAGGGGCAGTTCTCCCCAGGACCCCAAACCTTAAAAGGAAGAGAAGTTAAGAACCCAGTGCCACAAAGCAGCTCACCCAACCCAACCACTAAAACTGCCTTCCACTCACAACAGGTCCTAGGAAACGTAAAGGCTGAGATAGGAGGAATGACCACTCTGTGTCCCCCAAGGATGCCCCATCCCAGCCCCGCTCTCCCCGAATCTGAAGTGTCTCTAGGTTCCACATTCCCCAGGCCCACCGGGGATGAATGAGCTTCCTGCTTCCTGAATAGGTGCCTCTTGAGGCCTCAGTCTCCCCATCTGTACAATGGGGATGAGGAGGTTGTAATGCTCACACTGCTGAGCTAGGCCCCTGCTCCAACAAATACAGCAGTTCCTCTCCCTGAAAGGACCCTGATCCCTGAAAGACCTCTGGCTTCAGCCACCAAGAGCCCGTGGACACCTCTAGTAATCGTTGTGATTTCGTGGGCCCAAACCGCCTTTGCCCACCGGGGCAGCTTGGGCAGCAAACATGAAGCCGCGGGCCCAGAGACAGAGCCCCATCCTCAGCAAAGTCCAACAGCCTCCTAAAGCCTCTACCGCTGCCTCCGGCCCCCACCCGAGAGGCGTCAGCACCAACGACCCGCCAGGGCCTGCCCATTTTCCTTTCTTTTCATTGCCGGCTCCGGGCGCAGTTATAGAACCAGGTCTCCACAGAGTAATTTACTGGCAGAATCTCTCCCAGAATCCAGCTTGAAACCAAGCTGTAAAAACAGCTTCGAGTGTAAATAATTCATGCAGACAATATGACTTTTTTATGTAAATTCGGTG